ATTTTCTGACTTGGGGTCGAATATCAGCCTCTTAGCAGATCCAGATGAACCCCAGCAGAAATAGTTCTAGAATGGAAGACAAATGTATCTACAGAATGTATACAAGAACCAACTGAGGAACTTTTGTTTTGGAAAAACATTTCTGTTCATGTGACTGACAATGACTAAATACCATGCATCTGCCATTAACCTAAGCCCCCAAGGAAACAGGTGCAAGGTATTTGGTGTTGAAAGATCCCTGAAAACATGCTAGAAACACCAAGAAAGATCTCTCTAAAACAAGGTGATGAACTTTCAATTACCACCAAGGTGTTTCACTCAGTTGGCAGCCATTTTGTTTTCCACATGTGCAGACTTAAGCCTCAAAATACTTAACACCTGTTCTTGAAAACAGATTCCCTTTACAATGGATTATTTTGCTTTTAGAAGTTCAAAAGTTAACAGGGAGGTATAACTGCATGTGTATGCTCATATAACTAGCTGAAATAGCTGGAATGATTGTCGCCATTCTGGGTGTGACCTTTCGGATGGCACGAACAATAACAATGGAAGGATGCTCTGAGAGGCCTGAGCTCCAGTAAGTGGTTCAGATGTCAATGTATCATTGAGACTGTCATATAGGCTTCTGAACATGTCTGGTTATGATTGATGGGAATATGGGCTGTTTGTCCCAGCTAATATTTGTATAGCTGATTAGGTAAATGTATACCACTAAATTGAAATATGAAGGGCAAAGTTTAGTTGGTATTTGAAAGGTCAGATTCATTATTTGAACCCTTGTAAATTATCAACGCTTTTAATTGTGATACCAATGTTTGTAGGTTTCACCGAAGTGGTAAATGTCTGAGACCTGCATCACATCAGGCTTTCCTTCCACATTAAGCTGACACGCCGTGATATAACTGGAATACTGTTCAAAGCAGTGTTAAACCCAACTCTTTCTCAACATTTAATTGCAAACCAATTTTCTAACATGCTGAGCCTGGTTAATCTGTTCAAATTCTTTTCAACAACTTATTTTAATTGTATAGTCTACAGATTGTGTGATTCAACCAGTTAATATGTTTACTGTTATGAACTTAAATGTTTAACTTTATCATTTATTAGCGTGATAATATATTAAAATTACCTTGTATCTAAAATGGTGAAAATGGACAACAGAAGGTCTCTGATAGCCAGATACCATGCTTCAAAGCCCTTTCAGTATGATAGGTCAAAGTCAAAATATACATAGTTTTGTACCTCAATAATTGTTGTGTTTTTTTATGGACTTGTTTGGGTCAGTTTTATTAGACATTAATATTAATTCTGTTTTCAGTGCTGACTGGGTCTATCAGTGATATGTTCATGTTTGTATTTACTCTGGGCTATTTTATTGATATGATGGCACTCAAGGCCGGGGCGGTGGGGTAGCCTTGTGGTTTATGCGTTCGCTCATCAAGCCGAAGACCTGGGTTCGATTCCCCACATGGGTACAATGTGTTAAGCCGATTTCTTGTGTCCACCACTGTGATATTGCAGGAATATTGCCAAAAGTGGAGTAAAACCGTACTCACTCACTCACTCACTCACTCACTCACTCACTCACTCACTCACTCACTCACTCACTCACTCACTCACTCACTCACTCACTCACTCACTCACTCACTCACTCACTCACTCAAGGCCAGTCACCCATGAAGATCTGTGTTAGACTTTGTCTTCAGCAACCTGTTCTTGTTGTAAGAGGTGACTAATGGGATCGGATGGTCAGACTCACTGACTTGGTCATCGTATCCCAACTGGGTAGATCGATGCTCATGATGTCAGTCACTCTATTTACAGACTGCCATCAAATAGTTGCAATATTGCTGAGTTTGGTGTTTGACAACAAACACAAAACTTTAGGCTTAGTTGCTCGAATCTGTAAACAAAAAAAGCAATGTTTCGCTCAACTTCTTCAAAATGAAAAAATGTTAAACAGAATTATGGAATAATGCTTGTCCAGTAAATAAAGTGTAACAATTATTTGCCAGCTTTCTCTTGAGTATCATATTACAACTTCCTGGTCCATGAAATAGGCCTCGGGCATGTTTAAGTGAAATAAGCATGCAGCATTATCAACAAAATTACTCAACCTGTCAATGAACAGATTCATTAATCACTTAAACATATTTTTATTTCAATTTTTATGTGTTTTGAAAATTATCAGGAGCGTTTCTTTAGTTATAAAACAACATTTTCAGACATGATGTCTGACACATTGGAGATACTGTATTTTTCTATTTCAACACTTCTGATAATGTGACTCACCACACAAGTTTCATATGTCCTCATTGAGTGAAGGAGTTTGGAGAGCCAGTTGCTGTTTTCAGGGTTTCATCAGAAGGAAGATATATTTGACTGAAGTTTTAGCAGCTTTGATGTGAAGTAAATGGTTAAAGGATATACGCTTCAACATTCATTTATGAAACAATGACAGTAGAATTTTGGGTTGCATGATTTGTGAATTTTAGACTTAAACTTTGATAAATATGAAACTTCCATGTAATTAATGCTGAGTATGTCTGCCTGTCATACCTCTGTCTGGCTCTGTATCCAATCCCCAGACTGACTCAAGGTCAAGGAAACTTATGTCATGGCCTGTTTTTTCGGCGTGCATCGTCTATTGTAAACAATTTCTCGTCAGGAACCAATAAAACTGAAGCTTCACAAACTTGTTCCAACCAATGATGACGCTCCAATTTGTTCACGAGGTTCAATTCCTATTTTCAATATGGCTGCCATGGCAGACATCTTGAAAAACATCTTTATGGCCATTACTCAGCCAGTTTTTGTACATGTGTGGTTAGTGGAGTGTAGTTAGTGGAGTCTCAACATGTGTTCTGTTTGGCCTGTAAATGTCAAAAAGTCGGGCTTGAGTCTTGCCACTGTAGTGGCCATAAAATTTCAGAGTCCCGTGATGGGATTCAAACTACGGACCTACTGATCCAAGGTCGGATGCCTTGTCCACATGACCAAAGAGGTTAACCCTGTCAGCAAGCTGACAAGGTAAGGAAAGGTAAGGATGTCATCTGTGGGATGACTCCACGCCCTGCTACATACTCCCCCGTCAACAGAAGGCACATCCCGGGCCGCATAGTAGGGTAATGAGGCTTATTTTGCTCAAATCTAATATGAACGTGCTCAGCCCAACGTTGGTCGCCAATGTAGCGGCCATAAAATCTCCGAGTCCCCGTGATGGGATTTGAACCATGGACCTTCTGTCCACATGACCAAAGAGGTTAACCCCGTCAGCAAGTTCACAAGGTAAGGATGTCATCTGTGAGATGACTCCACGTCCTGCTACACCAGCAACACTTGACAAAGAGGACGCAGTTGAATCTGTTTGCAGTAGTTCTGAATGTTTCAGGGGGCACGGGTGGCCCAGTCGTCTGAGGCACTGCGATTCACTGTGCAGAGTTGCCTCCCTTGGGCATGCCAGAAACTTATGTTTGTGGGTTCGAATCTCGGTTTGCCCCAATTATGTTTCTAGGTTTGTCAGCACCATACCCGTGCTCGTGGGTTTCACCAAAGTGGTAAACGTCTGAGACCTGCATCACTTCAGGCTTTCCTCCCACATTAAGCTGACACCCCGTGATATAACTGGAATAATGTTAAAAGTGGCATAAAACCCAACTCACTCACTCACTCTGAATGTTTCAGCTTCAGGTACTTACTCATTGTACAAGCTGTCCCACCCTTAAAAGAGAGTCAAATGGTGCAAATTGTGCATTTAGTATTTGTTTTATCCACTGACAGTTCAAGAATTGCCACACAGATGAGCAGTAGCTGTCCACCATAGCTAGTAAGAAAGGGAGATAATTAAACTGAACAAGGGAGATAACTCTTTGAGCACTCAAGTAATATTACTGCTCAAGTAGTTGTCTCATACTTGACTCTTACTTGTAACCATTTCAGCCCTAGTTTCACTGTACCTTGGTGGAAATCGAACTCGGACATCGGCATGATAAGCGATTGCTTGAACCACTAGGCTACCACATCATTTCTTTTATCAATGGTTCGTCAGGTTTATTGTAGCTTTGTAACTACTACTGTATACCTACATCTAGTCTGTCAAACGGACCTTGAAACAAATATATCCAATACAGCCCATGCAAGTCTATAATGTTTGGCAAGTCTAGATTACTCCATTATGAGGATGAAGAAAGTCTCTGGGCTCCTTTTTATTTTATTTTATAACCATAATTTAACAATGTTTGTTTGTTTTTTTGTAAAATATGTTTATTTCAGAGACTAGATGTTAGTCTAACCTACATCAATAAAGTCTTGACATCAATCTTGATTTCTGTGTCTTGAACTAAACAGACACAATTATTTACAGACTGCCATCATATAGCTGGAATATTGCTGGGTGTGGCGTTAAACAATTAAACAACAAACTAACAATCTGGGAAGGGATCTGGGAGCAATATGCATTTAGGCTATTTCAAATGTGTTAGTGTATCGTTTCCATATTTTGGTATTCCTTCCGTGCAGTATAGAAACACAACAAGGACATATGAAAAAAATTATACTTTAGATCAATAACACACAGACAAAATTGCTTTAATATATATTAATTTACAATTTAACTTTTGCAAAGAATTAATTTTATGAATAAGGAATTAGAAAGCTTTGATTAATAATACTTTGATTGTCAGCACCATACACACATGGGTTTCACTTGAAACAAGCTATGATAGCAAAAGAGTCTGTGTTATTTATTATAATATGATGCAGATATACGCTGGATTGTTAGATGGTGTGTTACAGTAAACTACAGTTATACCGAACACGCTTATAACGAACTGACGGATATAACAAACCTACTTTTTTGGTCCTGACTATTTGCTGTAGTTATGCTGTATATATGCTTATAACGAACTACGGTTATTACGAACTAATATTAGTAGTCCCTTTGAGTTCATTATAACCGTACTCTACTGTATTTGGTTAACATTTTCGTTTTTTTGTTACAGCTGACCTTATGGGACACAGGCGGCATGGAGAGGATGAGCTTCATCGGGTCGAGCTACTATCGAGGGGCACAGGCGGCCTTGTTGTGCTACAATGTGAATAACAAAGACACCTTCACAATCCTTTCCCAGTACATCCTTGACATTGTCATGAATGCTGAAGGTGCCAAGATATTCCTCTGTGGAAACATGGCCGATTCCAATGGAGACAGTGAAACTGTCACGGAGAGCGACTTTGACGCTTTCATGAGTGAGTGTGGCGACGTTTTGTCTGCCGTGTACCAAGTTTCTTGTAAAGACAATGTTGGCATCCAGGAAATGTTCACCGATATGGCGAAAATATTACATGAAGAGGCGATGAGCAAAATGACGATTCGGCGAGACTACATACGGCCGGGGGAAACTCCCGATAATTTGAATGGGAAGAAAAAGTGTTGTTGATGATGAGTGCATGAGTGTATATATGGTCTGTATGTGATATTATCTCTTGATGTTGCAATAACCAGCCCTATTGGTGATGTGGTTCTTCATAATGGTTGCATGGGTGGGTATATCCATGATCTTGGGCAATGTGATATTGTCTGCAATGAAGACTGGTGGTACTGTGTATGGTCTTCTGATGGATGCTATTGGATGTTCTACAAGATGTTGGTCTTCTGATTGATCCTATTGGATGTTCCACAAGATGTTGGTCTTCGGATGGATGCTATTGGATGTTCTACAAGATGTTGGTCTTCGGATGGATGCTACTGAATGTTCTTCAAGATGTTGGTCTTCTGATTGATCCTATTGGATGTTCTACAAGATGTTGGTCTTCTGATTGATCCTATTGGATGTTCTACAAGATGTTGGTCTTCTGATGGATGCTATTGAATGTTCTTCAATTGGATGTTCATCATGGTGACTGCATATGGAGGTGTTCATGTGGTGTTCTTCTGTGGGTGCTTTTCATGTCATCCCATCAAGCTGATGTAGTGATTCAAGTGAACAGACTTTGTGGTATTACAAATGTTCTCTGAGGATGTGATGTAACAATTCATCCAAGTTTTGGTGAAATATTACCTTCTGTGCCATCATGTACCTATTCAGAGCTCCAGATATGCTCTGTAGTTGAGTAAAATATGCAAAATAGATCACCATTACCCAATTAAGTTTGAATTGTTTGTGAACAAATACCCTTGAAAGATTTTTAAAAACTGATAGTGTAAGAACACACCCTTCTTATAATATAACAATGTTTCCCTGCTATTGCGTCCTTCAATATAGTACTCACTCCGGGGGGCACGGGTGGCCAAGTCGTCTAAGGCACCGCGATTCGCTGTGCAGAGTTGCGTCCCTTGGGCACGCCAGAAACCTATGATTGTGGGTTCGAATCCCGGTTCGGCCCGATTATGTTTCTAGGTTTGTCAGCACCATACCCGTGCTCGTGGGTTTCACCAAAGTGGTAAACGTCTGAAACCTGCATCACTTGGGGCTTTCCTCCCACATTAAGCTGACACGCCGTGATTATAACTGGAATACTGTTAAAAGCGGCGTTAAATCCAACTCACACTCACACACTCACTCGGGTATGGCATGCGGTAAGGCATAGGTCCCAAAATTTATATACATTTTTAATAAACTCAAATTTTACACTGACACAATGTTATTTCCCCATCGCAAATAACATTACCAGCTGATAACTGGCACGCAACAGCGGAAATACCAATCAACAAATTGGAACAGATGTACCTACATTTCTTTACAGGTCCTTGTTCACTGATCGAATGCAGGCATCCCCCACACATGAACTCCACTGCAGTGAATAATGCTTAAAAGAGAGCTATGTCTCACCGCACAATTAGGACAGCACACAAACAAACACAAGGGGCGGTCAGGTAGCCTAGGGGTTACAGAGTTCGCTCATCACGCTGAAAACCCGGTTCGATTCCCGACATGGGTACAATGTATGAAGCCCATTTCTGGTGTCCCCTGCTGTGATATTGCTGGAATATTGCTAAAAGCGGCATAAAACTTTTACCAAACTCACTCACAAACACAAATTAGAAGTCAACTCAACCAGTGAGAATTCTTTTAAAAAAAGTCTACTCATTGGTGTAAAAATACCTGATAGTCTGGCCCCAGGGTAGTAAATATTGATTGAATACGGTACCCAAAGAGAACTATCAACACCCAATGTGAATGATAACGTGCGAGTAAGGGATGGTCGGGTAGCCTAGTGGTTAAAGCGTTCGCTCGTCACGCAGAAGACCCGGGTTCGATTCCCGACATGGGTACAATGTGTGAAGCCCATTTCTGGTGTCCCCTGCCGTGATATTGCTGGAATATTGCTAAAAGCGGCGTAAAACCATACTCACTCACAATCAAACACAAATTAGGAGTCAACTAAACCAGTGAGAATTCTTTTAAAAAATGTCTACTCATTGGTGTAAAAATACCTGATAGTCTGGCCCCAGGGTAGTAAATATTAATTGAATACGGTACCCAAAGAGAACTATCAACACCCAATGTGAATGATAACGTGCGAGTAAGGGGCGGTCGGGTAGCCTAGTGGTTAAAGCGTTCGCTCGTCACGCTGAAGACCCGGGTTCGATTCCCGACATGGATACAATGTGTGAGGCCCATTTCTGGTGTCCCCTGCCGTGATATTGCTGGAATATTGCTAAAAGCGGGGTAAAACCATATTCACTCACTCACTCACTCCCTTGCGAGTAAACACTCAGTGGTTCAAAACCATATCTGGAGCCCTGTGTATTGTATCATGAGGTGATGTATAGATGCTAGATTATATATACGTATATATATAAGGACCACTTGTATGCTATGAAAATGAATTGTAAAATAAAATACTATTTCCCTTCTTAATCTTTCCTATATCTCCCCTATTCATTACTAGTTTTAACTGAAATGTGGTTTGGTCCCTTCGATGCTGAATATGTCATACATCGTATTGTGTATCACACTATGACTGTATCAGAGTGATAGGTCTATTGTGACAGTATCGTTACAGCCCTGTTGAGGATATACGTTCATGTTGAATGTTTTGTTGTACGTTGTGTACATGGTTTTCATGTCTTCCGTAATCTCCACCAAATATTTCTTGTCTACCAAGACTTTTATCTCAAGTGTTATTTCCGCAAGCTACAGAGTGGTTCTAAGGCTAAGGTCTTTTCCTTCCTGTTTTTGTTGGTAAGCAGACTTTTCAATCCAAAATCTGTTTTGACAGGACAAGGCAAGGTACATGGATGCGATTGGAGTTACTGCCCCTTAGTGTCACAATGCATTGTCATGTAACTCATTGCAGAAGCGATTTCCTCTGTAAAGTAGCGAGTTACGATAACTTTTTCATCTCTTTGCTGCATTTCAAGATTCTAGAAATACCGGGGTATATTTTTCATTCTTTTACAAAAAGTATTGGGGATGGCAGTGATAAAAAACATTTTTTTTAATTCCATTTCCTCAGTATTTTGGGTCGGATGATCCATAAAGCAAATTTGTGAAAAAGCTTAATGGTCTAAGGCACCATATTTGGGAGAGTTGTGTCCCTTGGGAGCCTAATTCGCCTGCATGTCTGTTTGAATCTTAGATTATGACCAATTAACAAAATGGGAGTGGCTGTCTTCAACCGGAACCACTGCCTTGTTCGATTTTCTAGCGTATAATACCTCCATTCTGTTTTGATAAATACTCTGGACCCATTCTGCATGATTGATTCAGTTTGAGTCTCTGATTCGAAACATGATACGCTAGAAACAGCCATCCAATCAATGTGCACCCATAAGCTGGCGAACCTCTGTACAATGTTACTGATTACACAGATGGAGACGGTGATGCCAGCCAGGGCAGCGAATGGGTCCAAGGTTTTATCCTAAAAAATTCAGATATGATTCCCTGGATAATCAAGGCTGGGTATTTCTCAATCACATTAAAATCAAATCTTAGTTTTCGCTACCGCTAAACAAAGATCTGAGGACATCCCATTACAGGTCACGTCAGAATGACCTCTCGCGAACTTTGACCGATCAATGAAATGACTGACAAGAAATCGACATTAGCCAATCAGAAGGCAGCTTTCTTAAACTGATAAAAAGAACATTCTGGAATGGCTTACAGATGACCTAGATTGTATGGATATAATCATAAAGCCCGTAACTGTCGTTTGGAATACTCTGTTAAATATTTCGAGGCTGCATGATCAGAAAACACATTCTGTCTGTCACTTTCATAATCTGGTAAGCGACGCTCTGATTGGTCGGATGAAAGGTCGTTCTGACGTGACCCGTCATGGGATGTCCTCAGATCTTTGTTTAGCGATAGGGAGAACTAAGATCTGATTTTAATGAGATTGGGTATTTCTATGCACAATATAAACAGCCCACCATGATGAATCTGAAATACTGTTACAAGTAGCTGTGACTCCCTCACTGAAAACTAGGAGCATTTGTTTGCATATGTAGTAGACATCAAATTCTGTTTGTTCCAGTTACACATTGGAGACAGTTGCTGAGCAATAATTTTTGTCTTTATATATATAGTTTTGTAAAGAATGGACAGCTGAAATAATGAATGTGCAGCTGAGATGCAAGTAACATTTGTTTTATCATCAAAGATGATGCATTATTCTGTGGTAGCATTCTGGGTCAGAATAGGTGCGTGGCAACCTATGCTAGTCAGAATAGGTGCGTGGCAACCTATGCTAGTCGTAAGTGGCGACCAAACATCGGTTGGTCAGACTTAGTGACTTGCTTGAAAGTGTGACATCGTACCCGTGTGTGGATCTTTGTTCACAATTTCAATCCCTGGATTGTCTGATCCAGACTTTATTATTTACAGGCCACTGTCATATAGCTGAAATATTGCTGTGTGAAGCGTGAAGCAACAAATAGGTGCATTATAACAAGAATGGATCAGTTGCCATGCGATATTATTTTAGTTGGTCATATTTATGAAGGATATCCTGTTGAAATAAAGGGTAATGCCTATTTATCACTGCTTGATAATCTGTGGAGTTTTCATTCAAACTTAAAATCAGATCTATTTTTCCGATCCTCAATAAAGGATCTGATAAAGCCTCCATTGGATGAAGTTGGAAGTCTACCTTCGGTGAATTTGGACCGGCCAATCACATTGGAGGCTGCATGCTGTTTTAGCCAATCAGATGACAGCTTTTTAAAACTATTTGGCTTCATTGGAAAAATGGCTGCCTTGAGTTCTATATGCATGGTATCGTAGAAATGAAACCACTGCATAGAGAAGTCCTAATGTTGTTGATTGAAAGACAAGGTTTCAAATTACAGAGTGTAAAATAGATCGTAAACACAGCGACCATTTTGCCTTTTTACTTTCACTTGTGAGATACAGAAGTCAGATAAGACTATGCTACTCCAAATAATTAAAAATATATTTACTCCAATCAAGGATTTTGAAACCTCCATACTGATTAGAAAGTCCACCTAACACAACTTCCTTTGTAGACGAATATATTTTGTGAGTACCCAGTGGACTTTGCCTGGTCAAAGAATGGTTGTTAATACCGTAAGCCACCACTGTGTGACATCAGAGACCATATGATAGAGGTCTCTGGTGACATACAGCTGTTTACAGAAGGTGTACCAACCTTCAGCCTTGTACCACCTCTGCAGCACAATGGCGGTACACCTTGTGTTGCAGAGTGATGTCCCTTTGTTACACGTCTGGAACTGGGCTGTAAGGTGTGATTTGTCATAAAGCAAGCTGTAATTACAGAAATTAAGAATAAGCATGATAATTCATTCAAAAATTATTTTTTAAATCTAAATCTTTCCCTGTTAAAAGTTTTATATATCTTATATTAAAGAAAAGACCTCTGTGCATGCTAGATATGGGGAGAATTAATATACTACTCAACTTTTGATAGTGATACTGATGTTGTTTTACTCTAACTTTGAGTACTATACATAAATTAATTTTACAAATTTTACACTAAATACAAAAGATTTATTTTAAAATATATTTTGAATCTTATATATTGTAAGCGCCTAACAAACGTAGATTTCTACAAATGTCTGAATTATTGAGAATAAGGGATAGTCAATCAGAAACGTTTTCAGAAAAGATTCCACACTTGTTGAGGTGGCATGTACACCAGGATATATACAGCATTTATTTCTTCCAGTGACTTTTTAAAATGCAAATCATACCAGCAGCCAGCCACATGATCTGTTGAGCA